ATCATGATACACGAATAAAGAGCGATATACATTTTAAGACAAAGGAACGTAAATTGAAGTAATATCACTAAACACGGCAATAAAATTAATTTCAATATTAACTTCAATAAATTTGATTTTAACATCATAAGGTAGTTATAGTACACTCATCAACATCTATTTTTTTTATATAACATGTAACATTTTATATTATAAAATTATAGAAGGTAACAAAGCGATCTAAATTATATGATAATTTTATATAATTGTATTGATGAATGTGTTTATGGACGAATATAAGCGAACCATTGCTCTAAAAATCTTTAGAACAGAATTTGTAGAATAATTTCAGAAAAAGTTGAAAAATGATTCATCCCTTTTACTTGTATAAAAGAGAAATTTTAATACTCTCCATGTTACATTTAATACCAACAGCCAAAATCCTTTGTCGACAAATAATCGATTTCTCGATGCAGACATTCTTAAGCCGATTTTATAGGTACAAATCCCTTTAATTGAAGGTCTCATTAGTAATTGAAAACACTGATTGAAAATTTTGTTGTTATGTTTGCTGTGTGGTATTAATCAGTATACAGATGACTGAATAAAATTTTGAAAATACACATATTATTTTTTTTTTAATATTGAATTGAAATACTGAATTTAATAAATAAACTAAAATTTACTCAACTCTGTTATGTTCTGGAAAGTGATTTTCTATAATTAATTGCTATTATTCTTGTTTAAAAATTCCTCTTTCTTGAAAGAGATTCTTACAATTTTTATTAAAATTTGGATGTAGTAATATTTTTACAGGTGTAATAAATGAGCCATAAGATAATGCTTATATTAAACTGAATGAAACTGTGGACATTACACTTCATTACTAATTTAATCTTAATTTACTTTTATTCAGTCTTCTCCCAAGATTTGATTGTAAAGATTTCTTTTAAAATTCACAGTATGCGATTAAATAGAATCAAAAAAGTGGAAATAACACCATTATACATATATACGATACTATTGAAACTATGCAATGAGATAAAATTAAAAGAAGAAAGGTGTCAAAAGTGAAATGCGTATTTCTGTCTAGTGAAGAAAATTGAGAAAAGTTCAAACGTAACCGTATTTATTCAAGAAACAGGTATACGTAAGATAATTTTATAATCGATAAACGTTATGAAAACACGTATTAATTCTGAGAATTGAAACATTATGCACAAACTATATTATTGATTACTCGGAATGAAAGAAAAATGAAAATAATTTCAAAATTAAGAGTTTTATTTAAATTAAGAGAAATTGTAAATTACACAATTAATTAAGTCATATCTTTTCTCCTTTTTTTCACGTTTTAATAAAATATAACAGAAAATAGCACTTCACCTCGTGTCGTGCGTTTTACTCTTGTTAGCCGAGATTAATATCAAAGTTTCCACCGCCACGTTATAGTCAATGAAAAGTAGTTGGATTTCCAGAAGTTAAGCGCATATTAATAGCCATTTTGTGTCTAACAAGTTTCACGTAACGAACATTCAGATGCTTCCATACTGTTGGGAATCGTAAAGAGTTCTCGTCGCTTATAGCTCATAGCTCTGAAACACAATCGCTTTATTTCGGCTTGACTAAATTTGCCGCTTCCAACTCACTCGTTTGCTAGACAGTTATGTTTACGCACGGCGAAACTTACGAAACTTAACTAAATTAACTAGTTAACGAGTAGATTATGCACACGACATTTAACTGCCAACTCTCACAGCAGGTAGACTTACAGTTTTCCATAGTAAACTACGAAGTAGACTGCGGAACATCTCTTAAGTTCAAATATAGAGTTCTGCACTATTACCTTGGTTTAATGAAATAAGCTTAAACGAAACGCGATTGCCTTAGAACGTGAACAGTACATACATTGTGAATTGAATATCCTGAAACACTGATTTTCTATAATTATATGTTGTAGAACTTATTAACACTATAGATAGATATTATGTAAATCAAACGATATCACTTAAGGAACTTTCATTTATATACCCATACATGCACTCGATGTATTTTAAAATTAAAAATGAAGTGTAATGTTTATACTAATGATAAATGTCAAATAAAAGTTACGAACGATGTGATGCTGTTCATGGAAGAATCTCATAATTTATCAAATAGATAATATTGCTACAAATTAGAATTTCACTTTATTCAATATGACAATATAATTTGTGTACTTTAACACAAAATAATTAATTCTGATCTTGAAATCTGCGGATAATTTAAAAGGACAAAACATATCGTTTAAACAATAAAATAAATAAGATTCTATAACAATAATATTGATATAAATAGAAACTTTCTTATCCATTTCTCTCGCGTTTCAATATATATTTCGTGAAAAAGCCATTCCTACGTTATTATTATACTCCACATTAAATTACTTCAAATTTGTTTTATTATTTGAATTGTATCCTCCGGTATAGCAGTAATAGGGAAGAAATATGATAGTGGCAGAAAGAGGAAAAAAATGTAACTGTCGCCATACGCGCACTAGTGACAAAACTGTCGCTTCAATACTTATATTTGTAATATATGGCGTTAGTAGAAGGAGGAGAAATTGAAATTTTGATTGATGCCAGCGAGAAAGATAACTTGTCGCTAGTACGTGCATAACCTAATAGTTATACGATAGTTTCATGAAATAGTTCTGCGAAATTTTTAAATTTAAGATGTCACGAACCTAGCAAAATTCGAACACGATTTATTTTTTGTTGCATGAGATATCTAGATGCAATATCGAAGTCCATGCAATCACGTATGATTTATATTGTTATTCTAAATATTCGAACATATATACGCTCGTACAAGAATGAATGCGATATCGAAAGATTGACAACTGTGTATCCGGAAAATTGGTTGTCCATTTTATTCGATCCGAGAGATAAGCACAAAGGGAGGTGATAAAAACCAAACGTAACAAAATAAACAAATAAGAGAGAGCATTGATGTGCTATAACAAATAAATGGCTGATAGTGGCAACCTATTGACCCAAATAGGGTCGATGATATTGATTAGTCACCGCATGTTTGTCCCACGGCAGTCAAACACGATCCCTTCTGTACTCTATATTTCTCCTAACGTACAATACCTGCCACCCCTTGTACTTCCATTTCTCTAATAATCTGTCCCTCTTTGTTTCGATTTTGCACAACCTTCTCGTATTGCTTTCGTCTATGTCGTATTCTCATCGCGAAGTTTTCGAGCATCTTCTCTATACCCTTTTTCGTATAGTCGGGCAACGAAATTGAATTTATGGCTTTATTTTCCTCGTTCGTGGACAATATCTACCGCAGATTGCTCTACGTGAAGCGCGATTCACGGTATTATAGCGAAATAATGGAACCCTTGCGTCTCCTTTCATGTCATTCACGTGGAAACAAGAAAATGCCATGAAACGAATTCTAACCGAAACTTTAATACGCTTCAAAGTTCGTAAAACATATTTTCCAGAAGGACAACAAGGCAATGATTTCACGACCCATGCTTTTTTATCGATCGTTTTACGATATCAACGAGAATTTTTTGCTTTCGGATGAGTCTACAGAAAGTTTTAAGTACCTCCGACGTTTACAAGTTCAAAGCGCGTTCATTTCGAAGTAATTAATTAAATGCTCAATGAGGAAAAGGACTCCTCATTAAAATTGCTACTTTGAAGTTGCAAGTAAGAAAAGTACAGGGGTTTCAAGTATGGAATCACCGTTGAAATTGCCTGCAATCTTAAAATATGAAGAAAACTATTCTGATTAATAATGATGTGTCTCTTAAATATTTCGAAATCTTCTCAATAAGCGAATACAAATTAAATATAATTAATGTATCTACCATAGAGTCCCAATTCGTCTTTCTCTCAATCCGAATACATATATAAAAATTTATGTATATTAATTATCAATAGAATAAGGAAGGAACGTCCTATGTTTTTAAAAAATAAGAAAAAACACTACATATGTGTACTCTTAAATTTATGATACTGAATCAATGATATTGAATCAAATTTATGATATTGAAAAAATATTGTACATATATTGCTGTATAAATCTGAAATTTATCAATTTACTTAGCATTAACCATGTAAAATACATCAATTGTATATTTTTGAATTTGTCTATTAATTAAATATAATAACAATACCTAACTTTTATTTTTCACACTTTAACAATATCGTACAAGATAATATGAGAGTCAAACATTTCTAAACGTTATAATTAATATATTGCTTAGAATCTTATAACTTTCATATAATGATGCTCTGTTCGTATTTAATACAACGTTCATAATTGATTACTGAATATCTTGTACTAGACATTAAACTTTACATACATATATACATATTTAATGATAAGCTCTACATAAATTCTTAATTAAGACTTTAAGCTAACATAATAGCTTTAGCTTTATCTAATTACTAAGCAAGTTCATTTAACTTTAATTATTTTTTATCCATTTATCTAAAATTTTCTTAATTAAAATAAAAATCTAACGATTCGAAATCTAGGTACATACATACATAGAAAGATTTAATCTTTATTTTTATGAAAATACAAGAAGGAGAGGCAAATTATGGATAACCTCTAAATAAATTAATTGAAGAGCAAATATTATCGCAAATGACATAATGTTTCTAGAAAACATTATAAAATTATAGAAATTCATTTATTAAACAAATATATATTTCGTATTAAATTTGAATATATGTAACCGTTACACATTTACCTTTTATGTAGTTTAATTTCTTAAACTATATTATCATTTTTTACTAAATAATTATCTCTTAAATTGATAAATAATTTGTACTTACCGAAGGTGTTCCTTCTTCTGTTACTGCACATAATAAAAAAGTATTTGTACATTTCTATCAAATAAGTTATTATATTGTTGTCAAGAAATCGCAATTATTCATTCTTAGTTCAGTAGGAATCGAAAGCACTCTATCGGCCAATTTCGTAAAAGCATAGGAAACATTTTCCCGCGCATTTCTCATTACCTGTTGCACGTTTGACGTGTCCGTTGTCTGTAATTGTTTTTGTACTTATTAAGTGTAGTGAGTGTTTTAATTGGTAGCGATAAGTAGCAATGATTACGTTAGTCCAGAGTTTCACTACGCACGTGAGTGTTAATAATGACATTGTTAATAACTTATTTTATTCTGTTTTCGTTAACAAACCAAAGTTAACCTCAAATGTCATGCACGCCAGTTATTAGTATCTCGTGCGAATAGACATAAAAAACACAATTATGGTGATTTTAAACTATGGTTAATTATAGTAAATAAGATTAAACTATGGTATTGTTTCACGTATTAATTAAAAAAAACAGCATTGGTTTGCTTATAATATTGATTTACTGAATATGTGATAAAAGTAAAATATGTATAAGATTCATAAATTTAATTAAAGATATCCATAGAAATTAATGTTATTAGTACAAAATTTAAAATACTGATTTATAACATTTACATTTATTACAATTATAGGATTGTAATTATTTGACAATATTTTGGTTATTCCAGTAATAAAGCTATAGTGTCATTTTAATAGTTCTAATATATCGTTTATTGCAGGTGATCTAAAAATTCACTTGAATAATAATGTTTAGAATTCAATAGAAAGGAATATATACATACTTTATAATCCGTTATAAATAAAATCATGTCAGATTACCTATCTACTGAACTTGCAGCTACGTGCGCTGCACTTGGTTATTATGATGGATCCAAGTATCATTTAGACAATTACTGTTTAGGTAAAAGTAGTTGTTACTTTTTTATGTGTATCTTGTATACTAAATATTCATGAGTTAGTCAAAACTGAATTCATCGATACAAAGAAATATTATTAAAGTTATTAATTTCATAATAGATGTTATAAAGGATCTTATCAAATATTTAAGAAGAGACGATGAATCTCATACTGTACGTCAGTTTCTTGGTCAAACAAAAGTACTTCAAACTGATCTTATAAAAATTTTTGTTGACCATTACGATAAACTTGAACTTTGGGATGTATTACTAAGGCAAGTAATAAATTATTCAAAGTATATTTTGTAACTTGCTATATATTATTCCACTCTAATAACATCTGATTTAATTAGGTTAATTATTAATATAACAAGTCCAGTTGTGCTGCTTTTTAATGAACAAATTCCTACTGACATAATGCAACGTACTATATACCTTAAACTAGTTGCATATACACAGTCATATAAAGTAGCTTTAATTGATGGACGTATATGGACAATACTTAGTAATCGTTTAAGTAAAATTCTTAAACTAGTAAGTTTATTAAGTTTGTAGATTTTATATGTATATTTAGAAATAAAGAAACAATACAATCCCTTTGTTCTTATAGGATAATGTAGAAAGGGGGGAAGAAAACGAAATGATCATTGAAAGGATACTTATTTTTATTAGAAATGTTTTGCAAATTCTCCCAGATGAAAATGAAAAACGTGTTGATAATGATGCTACAGTTCATGATGAGGTATGATATTGAATGTAGGATTGTATAAGAATATATTTTTATATACTCTCTGCTCATTAGGTTTTATATGCACTTAATACATCAGGAATTGTTGATTTATTAGTATTTATTGCTAGTAACAGAAGTGAACAACAATATCATTTGCAAGTTGTAGAGGTATGTGCTCGATTATATTAAAATGTGGTTATATTGTTTCAAACGTTTTATTTTTTCTCCGAAATAATTTAACTTTTAATAATTACTCATGTCTTATATACGTTGCATATTATTAGATTATATCGTTAATGCTTCGTGATCAAAGTGCGAGTGAATTAGCGAGGTCCGGCTTGCAACGTAGTCTTAGCGAAAAAGAAAAGGATGAAGAAACACTTTTAGCAGCTCGACTCAAAGAAAAGGAGAAAAAGATAGAAAGAGTGAGAAAATATGCAGAAGCTAGGTAAGTTTAATTAACTCTATTCTCTAATATTATTCTTTATTCTCTCTCTCTCTCTCTCTCTATGTATATATTTTTTTTTTACTTTTTTGTTTGTTTCAATTTTTATGCAATAAAAACAGTTTATTCTTCATTTACGTATTTAGATAGTTTTAAAAAGTATGTTAAAGGATTAGATAAAAGAAAATAATAATATTCATACTCTTCTAGTTAATCTGTCTATAGTTTATTTAATACATCGAAACAATTTTGAAGATATTGCTTGTGAATATTTCGTTTTAGTAAGTGATTATATTTACAACTAAGTTATTGTAAATCAAGCATTTACGAACATAGTATGTTATTTTTTTTATTATTTTAAATATTGAAAACTGATCGTTTCTATATGTAAGGTGTAAATAGTTGGTTTTATTGCAAATTGTATAGACATATTACAATTATTTACACATAAATTTAATTACACATTTTGCTGAATATCCATGGCTCGGACGACAAGTTATTTTAACATACTTATAAGAAAATTGAACACGAATAATATTGTGAATATAACAGGATAAACAGACGATTAATACCACTTAAGGGACATTGTTAAGGAAACATAATTTATTCCTAGTACTACATATGTAATAAACCTGACCCACTTTTTAAAGTAAGACCACGCACCATTTGAATAGATGCTTTTACCCACTTGTTGGGGAGTGCACGTGTTTTATTCTTGTGTCGTGCATTATTCACATCTTTTTGCTATGTTCCCCTATTTTCCGTAGAAAGCTTTTTGCAACTTGAAAAGAAATCAAAGGAGGTAGAGAGATTGATCTTTTCTCTCACACCCTATGAATCGATGGACAATGCTATCACAAGCGACAAAATGGCACCGTCCAAAACAGGATTTTATGTTCAATATTTCAAAGATAAAAGCTTTAAAAAATAGCAAAAGTGAAAAATGTATCATTGATTTAGAACGTATTTAATCGAAATTAGTAAAAATTAGATATCAGAAATTTTATGAAATTTAAATATTTCAGATGGTTATTTGTAATTTTTTAGAAACTTGAATTTTTCTAATATTTGTCAAGTATTCACATATTCACATCTTTCTTTAAATAAACAATAAATAAATTTATTTTCAATATTTCTAGTTCAGTCTCTGATTTTGTTAATGCTTAAATTATGTATCTATTGTAGTTGATATAATGAACCGATTACACAAGAATAATAAAAACAAAAAATCGAAGACTATTTTCTCCCGCAAATAAATGTGCGAGGAAGAAAATGCATCTTCCTCGTTTAGCAAACTACCTGCTAGTGACAGCCGCCTTCCGTACTATTGATTAGATTTTCAGAAGTCATACATAAAATTGATGGGATTTTTTTTTGGGGGGTGGGTTTTTTTTTGAGTAATAGGTTCTTTTTTTATATCAAACAATTTACTTCGTTTTACTTATAATCAGGTATACGTAACAATCTTTTCGTTAATTGTCTAATAATATGTTTAGACATTCACATTTTGGTGGAACTTACGTTGTGCAAAATATGAAAGCCATTGGAGAAAATCAGCTATTATGTCACAAACCATACCAGAAGATCGAGGCATTAAACTTCGGCCAAGATAAGGTAATTACTGCAGTCGTTATTGATATGAAACGATTCTGTTATGGTTTTCATTTCCTTTTTTTGTTTCTGTTTCCAAATAAAGGAAATAAACGTCAAACCAGAAAATGGTCAATTCAATTAATCTTTGGTTTCCAACGGTAGCTCTCATTAATGAATAAGTAGGAATGAAGGCTGGGTGGATTTGAATGAAAATACGGTTGTTAATTAAGGCTATCCTCGCGTAATTAGAACTGGCTCCTTGCTTAATGGTGCTGAAACATTTAAAACTAGGTCAGTGCTCTTTTCGCGGACGTTTCTCCTCCTTTTCTCTTGTCTCTTGTGTCCCGCTCGACTATAAAACGATCCTTTTCCTTCTTACATCGTTATTATCGTTTCCTTCGCAGAACATCCGTATTTGAAGACAAACTTTCCCTAGCTTGTTTTTTCGTAGCTCGTTTCATTATGAATTGTTGTAAATCTACTGGGTCACATGCCTGACGGCTATCTCGAATTGAGGCGATCAGTGACTTCTACCATATCTTTTATGGAATTCCACCAGTTTCCTTCTCTTGATCCCTTCCCTTCTCTGATCCCTTCTAAATTGTTATATAGAAACAATGAAAAGCACAAAGTCTATGTCATCTATTAAACGAAGTTGTATTCTATAGATTATTTCGCTAATCTTTTGTAATAAAGGTTACAAAATGTGATTTTATTATAACTTTAGATTAAAAAGAAGTTTTTCCGTTATAAATATACAACAAAATGTTAAGTTTAGTTTAACAGAGTGGTTAGAAGTTTAATATAACGGGCAATTTATTTTTTGTTTCTATAATATAATTTTGGTTAGGATATAATGGATTTTTACAATGTAACAATCACCAAGACTTTTTAGACGCTTTTTATAATTGGAAAAAGAATGTTCTGAGCAAAAGTTCAGTACTTAATTGATAACAAACTGCAATATAAAAGAATTGTAAATTCTTCCAGTAAAACCTGGGGTACTTCCACTGTTTGAAAATAGTCGTTTCACTTTTTAAGTATCTAGATAACAAATTTTGTTGATTTCTTTTTATATTGTAGCTTGCCGTTGGTTCAGTATCAATTAATTTTTATCTAGAACATTTTTTGTCAACTTATCTAAACGTCTAAAGAATTGCGGTGACAATTTTATTGCGTTGAATACCCTGTTTATCTTTCTTTATTGATGTAATATAAAATATTGGATACAGAGCAATACATTGTTAAATGTAGTGTTTAGTGCAGTATTTTCCAGTATTTAGTATTTAGTATTAGCGCAATAAGATATATTCGTTACATTATCATCAATTTAAAAAGGATTATACTGGCACGATAAAACATATGTGATGAAGTTTGTTTTCAGACAGTCAAATATTTAATACACATGTTTTCAATTCTTTCTTGTCGATCCTGAATAAAACGTATAATATCTATGTAATTAATAATAATGATAAGTATATAGATCTGTGTAACATAATTTTAAATACATAATAATAATAGTGTATATTTTGATTTCAATGCTACATAGAAAAAAGTGTCAAAACCGAAAAACAAACGTCCCATGTGGGATCCAAGGGGTGAACGTACATCTGCATTGAGTGTGAGGCTCATTTTGAAAGAATTTTGTATAGAATTCTTGAATGCTGCTTACAACCCCGTTATGAAATACGCAAAGTCCTGTATAGTCAGCGGAGCTCAAACCAATCAATCTGAAACAACTTGTTACTTATGGGCCTTGCGTTTTTTCATGGAGTTCAACCGCCATTACAAGTTTGAAGTAAAATATGTGAGGTAAGTCGGTGGAATTTCCTTATTTCGTAATAAAAGAAGGTACATTGTCAGAGAATAAACGTTGAAGAAAGGAAACAGAGATAGTTTTCGAACTCGTTTTACGCATCGTCGCTCTCTTTAGATTCTTGTCTTTGAGAAACATTTTCTAGCTATTTTCAGTGCAAGCGCCTTTACGTGCTCTGCTTTAAGCAACATGTATTGTTGGGATTTAAATTTTCCTTCCAACCAGTGCTCGTTGAACACTCATTATCATTCGAAGCATGTAGAAATGTTAGCAATTTGTGATCTCACACGTACATACATACACATGACGTTTTTCTTATTATTTAAAGTTTATTTTTAAGAATTTATCAAAAATTAGAGACTAATGTATCGTTGTATTTTGTTGTATGTTTGTATGTTTGGTTTTTTCTACTAATTTATCAACAGCGAAACAATATCCACGGAAGTATTTCATTTAGTACAAAGACAAATGGATCATTATTACGAGATGATAATTACTGACAAAAAGAGAATTCCCCTTTGGTCTCGTAGATTACATTTAGCATTGAAAGCGTATCAGGTGAGGAACCGAGTATTGATATTTGTTTTCGTTTGATAGATGCATGGAACGAAATATGTTTTTTCTTTTTGTTATTATAGGAACTTCTGTACACTCTAATGGCAATGGATCAAAGTACAGATCGTGGTGTTAGAGAATCCAGCAAGGTTATTAAGAGTAACGTGTTTTATGTTCCGGAATATCGGGAAACGATTCTTGCTCTCCTTCTCTGTTTCGACGAGGTTAAAATGTCTCGGTTCGTATAAAAGATTCTTTGTAACATAACATGAATTTTAATGTTGCTAAATGATAAAAGTATTTCAAACATTGAGATGAAACAGATCTGTATTTAATAAAATTTAATTGATAGATAATGAAATTTTTAACAAACATTTTTGGCACAATCAATATTCAATTAATATAAATTACACACGAGCGAATTCTGCTCTATCATGAAAAATTTATCATCTAATTTGTATATTAATAAACAGTTCCGTTATTGAATGCTCGGAATATGTATTTGTTTTTTCATCACATATTACTGTTATTAAATGATACAATTATGGGAAACATTTATTAAAAGAAGTAATGCTATTATAATAATCTCCAAAATGTAATGTTAAAAGATAATTAAAAGATGAACAAACTTGTTACACAAGTAATAATTCAAAATTTTTTCTTTCATATAAAGATTCAGAAATTGTTAGTTTAAGTCGGAAAGATAAATGTTTAATGCTTTCTCAGGGATTTTAAATATCCTATAGCGAAAATTAATGATGTAATTTACTTGTGAAATATTTAGTTAGTTTTACTATTTCATGCTCTGGGTATCTGTTTATCGGGTAGATAGGAGTGGAAAATGAAAAACTGTTTGCTAAAAGTTTTATCTACTGCAGACAGATTGATTCACTTTCAAATCAATCGGCTCGAACAACGAGGGAGCTATTTCTCGTACTTTCTTGCTTCTTTTCGACTGCACCCCCTCCCATTGCGTCCTCCCCTCGCTCTTGTCTGGTCCTCCTCTTTTCTTTTTCACTTCTTGCTGGAATAAACAACTTCTATCGACCTTCCGGCCGGCGAAATGGGAAAAGACGACGGCCGTTCAACTTTTCGTGAGTTTGACGGGTTTTCCACTACGGAAATGTAAGGTCGGAGCACCATACCGCGATATCGTCGTTACTTTGACGTCTTAGTGACGCTGACGAAAACAAGACTTGACGGGTGCAGCAAACTTCGTTGCTGATGTTACGACTTGCAAACTGTACATACAACAGAACTGTATTAATTTCACGGCGGGTATTGTTTCATTTGAAGCGACGCGACGTTTCGAATGAGAATCTTATTGAACTGTAAATATTCAAGTATAATTGGGAGGCGAATAAATAGGTATAAATTGATACGTAGATATTATTACATTTTAATACTCAATATACCTACGTATATATGTATAATACATAAATAAAACTTCGTAATTTTTTTTTAATGAAATAAATTGTAAAAACTCTATTCTTTTTTTTAATTTTTCACACTTCATTTAATTTTTAATTAGTCCTGTATGTATTAGGTGAAACGTTTTTATGTTTTTTTTAGACAATATTTGATTGATCTCACTACAACAGCACACATCTTCTTAAAAATGTTGAGCAATTATTGTGGAAGAAATAAACGTAGTGTAATAGTCCAGAAAGTGAAACCAACACGACACAAAAGAACAAATAAAAAAAGTAAGAAACGAAATATTATTTCCTCTCAATTTAAATAAGGACATGCTTTCTAATATCAAACGTGAATAGAAGCTGTACAGAAAGAACAACCTCCGGTTCGAAGCTTAGAAGAACGTTGGGACGAAGTTAGTCCCCAGCTATCCATTGTAATGCAAGAAGGAACGATACCGCAAGTTATACCATTTGATGCAACGTTGGATGTACCTATAGATGATCAGAAGTATGTTTATGTTACTTTATTCGATTATAACAATATTGGCAAATTGAAGTTGAATGCAAAGAATACTCTTATTATGTCATGTTGATTGTTTCCTTGGTTTCAGAGTTGATGCAATGAAGAGGGTCCAAAAGCTACTACGGTCGAAGGATCTGGAGCAAGCTATTGGACTTATTCGTGCAGCAAGGTAAGTGCACTATTTGTTTTGAACAGTAATTCTATGAAAATTGTTGCGTATTTTTAAAGATCATCTCATAGAATAATTAGTATTTATTTTATGAACTGATCCTGATATGAATGTGACATGTTAAAATAAGTGTCACTGTTATCGATTAATATTCTTCCTACTGTTGTTTGTTTAAAATAATACTTACTTGAATATGATTATCAGTTCAAATTATTGAAATTATGAATAGAGAACAACATGAATGAAGCATGAATTTAAAAACTAAATTAATATATTAATGATAAATAATAATAATAATCCATTTTGTACTTTAATTTGCATATTTTTACGTATATATTTTTGTATAGGAAAAAATTAGAAAAAATAAAAAATAGTAATTAAAATCTTAACGTTTTATTAGTGACATAAATATCTGTGATTGTAATTATTTAACACGTTGTCTTTAAAATTTGACGCTTAGAAGAAATTTGGTGACTCTTTAATGTAGCATTAACATTTGTGCGATTGTGGTAGTATAGATTTCATTACTTCTGTTATCTTTAGTGAATATATATAGGAGAATTGTAGTACAAAATATGGAGGAATGTTTTTATTAACAAAGAGATCCGATATTATCACGTCCTTCTTGTTGGTATGTGGCATGCCTTGCGAATATACAATCTTTTTGCCACAAAAATCTACGAGCGTGCTAAAAAAGTGATTAAAGTTTGGCCTATTTCACGCCGTCGCGTCAAGGTATTCGATCAATTTCCATGACGCCCTGCCTCTAGGGAGTAACTTCTTGATGTGCGCGCGATATGCATATTAGTGAAAGTAACTTTCTTGTCTTCCATTTGTCAAATAAAATAATCTCAGTATATTTAAACTGTTATTTCATAGCCTGGAGTTAATTGATCTGTCCGAAATTTTATTTATAATGAAATCTTTCTTTCTTATGTGGAAAAGCTTTTGATTGACAATTTACAGTTGACCACCACTCATTTCTTGCAATTACAAATCGATGAATAAACATTAGATTAAGAGATTTTAGTATATTCATCATTGATCATTTATTTAGTATATTCAATCAAATATTGCAGCCTGAACAATAATTTAATATGAAATAATGGTAATGTATTTGTAATACATTGTATTTCAATAAAGTATAATGAGTCAGATTTAATATAATATATTGTACTACAGTGTTTGTAGGAATTAGAGTTAATATTATAAATAGTAGAAGTTAAAGAATTAATATTGATTCCTTTTTTATGGTGTGTTTACATTCATAATTTTAATAGCCCAATTAACTTCAGCGTATGAAGTACCTCTTCAATCGCATTAAAGGGATTAATTTCTTTTCATAAATATAAGGCGGCGTGGTTAGTTCCGTCAACATATCGCGCTAGAAGTTCCTAGTTATTGCACACCATGCAACGATCTTGGATATCGTCGTACCGTGAGATAAACTTTTAATCACCTCTGGAACAACTTAAGCCTTTAAACACCTTTTTAATACATTGACAGTTTGTTGTTTTAAAGACAAAAATCGTGTACGTGTTATCTGGGATACATATTATGCATAATACATATTAAGACATAACAAAATTTGATCTTTCTTTGTAAGAGCTGTGATATGCATCATTTAAGGTACATGTTCATGATATATATAGATATAAATTGTCTTTAATTTAGTCGCTTATTTTAGCCATTGTTTTTTATGAATTTAAGAACTATCTTATACATATGTATTATCATATCTTATAAAATTCATTTGTATTGCGTAAGTTGTCTTTTTGAAAGCAATAATGTTATTAATAGTATTACAAATTTTAGTTATATTTGTGAATAAGCAGAGAACAAATTTATGGGTTAAGATATTAAACAAAATCTGTTGAAAACTAGAGAGTTCGTATACCATTCTATTCTCTATCTCAAGAATTTTCTCCTGAATAATTTTATAATAATTAATAATATCTTGTGAAACACGGTTTGATATCACCCTATATCAATATTATTGAATGTAAACATGTATGTAATTACAATTTACATGGCTGTAATTAATCACATCGATATTTATTCATAATGTACATACTATTGCATAGTAATGAGTTTCCCTATATGTCAATTTTATATTACGTAATTTACTCACAGGAATAGCTTAATTATTATCGATTTTAGACAAATCGCTAGAATGAAAAGTTGATAAAGTTACGGGAAGTATTTAATTGCATTGCTGTCTTTCATGCTTAACCTGCGAATACAAAAAGCGATTTTTTAACCCCATTTGATGTGGATATGAACAATGCTCAGGGCTAAAAATGTCATTTATGCGAAGAGATGAATAAGAGCCACTGAGCTGAAAATAGCATTCAGGTTGATGACAGGTCACACGCGGCGAAATTTCTTCGCATTTGACTCACAGCATCTCTGTGGTCGACCAATCATTGATTTATATGCCGTAAGCCAGAGGCGAGAGTTTCCCAATGTATTCAACAAAATGGTTTTCGGTTTTCTTGCTAATCTCTACCTTTTTCGTGGTTGAGTATAAAATATACGTTACAGCTACGAGTTGAGTGGTTCGGAATATCTGTAATGTTGTATAGACACATAGGTGGTTTGCTAAAGCTTTATTTTGCCAAAGTTGCGACATGCTAAATGTACTGTGTGTGGGAATTAATAATTAACTTAAACGATCCTAGTTCCCTTAGTGATAATTATTTCTTACGCTTTAAACTTGCCACTTGTAAGTATTCAGACATTTCAGTTATGCATTCCTTTATTTTCGTTCAACTGACTAAATGAATTCTTTGTTGAATGGAGGAAGAAGATATGCCATATTAACTTCATGCAACATGTCGGTAGTACTTTTTAAGAACAAGATATCGAATATGCAAGGAATCGAATGTATTCAGTACTGAAAGCTCGTGTTAGTGACTGTCGCTCATTTAATCGAAGTGTTTATATTAAATTATTCAGAGAGGTCTGTTTCATGGAAACATTTGATTTTTTCAGCGTTCGTTTTCTTTAGAAGCCTGGGCCAATTAATTGGCTAGCTGGCAAGTGTTTACTCTTCCACTGATATTTACATTGCATTAAATCTGAAAGGGATGGTCCGTTCTTGAAATATGTCAATGCATGTTGGTTCATCTCAATGAGTCCTAAGCGGTACTGAACCCTGTCCCTTTGAAGTGTTCTGCCTCTAAATATACTCACGAGTCTTTTCCCTTCGTTAAGTTGTTTCTCCATTCCGTTCCATCGATCCTTCTGGCTGGTAGCCTTAATCGCCGCTTCGATGGTTTCGCGGGAGCAGTATACTTTGGAGATGAACTCGTTGACGCGAAAATGAGTTCTTTGCATTCACTTCGCCTTCAAAGAGTTTCATTTTTATAACAGTGCGTCAGTTATATCTATTCTTACAATTAATTGCTAGATTAATACCTCTTTTGTCGATGAACTCGTTGACGCGGAAACGAGTTCTTTGTATTCACGTTGCATACAAAGGGTTTCTTTTTTATAACAGTACGCCGGTTATAAGTCTATTTTTACAATTAGTTACTAGATTAATAACATTTTTGTCGAATACGATATTCATCTATCCTGTGTGTATTGCATTTCATGGCAAGTTACCCGCTAATTAACTTTGTAATATATATTTAGCTAAAAGGATTTTCAATTACGCAGTTCTTTCTGATCTTAAAATTACTTCAAGACACGTTGAAGAAGTATCTTAATTTCAGTGAATGAGATTTCGTGCAAGTTAAAGAGCTTTCGTTGCAGTTAACACACGTCTCAAAGGCACTAGAGTAAAATTGCCGAAACAAAAAACTGCTTCATCGTGAGCGGTCTTTCTCGTAAAGCTAGGGAGTTATAGCCCTTCCTACAGATTTTTCTTTAGGCGGTATCATCACCGCAGTACTTTTACGTAGTACTTTAGGAGATTGTTCGTAATATTCCATCGTCCATTTTATGGGGTAAGCTTTGCCATAGCCGGTACACAATGGAAGCTTCTGGTTCATGCCGACCTTGTGCATACAACGGGATAAAAGGAAGCAGCAGACTGTTGACTATGTAGCATATAGAGGTAGGCTCGGAATAAGAGATATTAATAACACATTTCTGATAATCTGGTGGTATTACGGTAAACAGTATAATGCTTTGAATTTCCTTTTATTCGTATATCTACGTAGCGCAGGTACAGCTTGCCCTTGAGAAGCATGGAGAGTTTCCAGTGATCGCGTTCCGTTTGCCTAGCAAATACTCTCGTCGTTTAGATACTGACTCAAATCCTCTAATTTTCTACTTACACCATCTGCATCGGTGCCACCGGCAAAGTGTGCTGACTTTGGTTCAGGCTTGGATAACTCAAAGTCGCAGGATAATTAAGGAGAAGAAGCGTAGCTTTTAGCCCTTTTCGTGTTAAACGAGGAGGAGTAAGGCGAATAATCAACGGTCTTATTTGCGTCTTAAAAGTTTCTTTGGTTTGAAGGATAGATTCTACCGCTGTAATTAGAAGCAAATGAAAATTGCCAAATTAGATACATGGATGAAATTACAATGTTCACCTAATTTGCATTGCATTTTTCAAATTAAAACATTGCCGAATCATTACTTTGAGAATTTTGTTACGATTTTATTTGATTAAAAATGTAATATAATGGTCGTAGAATATACTTTTTATTGATAATCGTCTAGATTTATAGGATGATACTATCTGTAGTATTTTTGGATCGATTCTTTGTTATATACATCTTTCTTATTGTTCTAAATTAGGGATTTAACAATTTGTAATTATGTTACGAGCGATTCGAGCCTTGAATAACTTAATTTCAAGCATTTTTCGATTTCGAATTGAACAAAGCCAATTTACCTCCGATAAGTTGTGCTATTCTGACCTCGAACTAAGAGATGAACCTGGTCTTGAATGTTCGAGTGTCAAGGGCGAAAATTGACGCGTTGAAATTATTCGTTCCGTGTCTGGTAAAGGAGGTAGTTCGGACGATGGGATTGGGAGGTTGGTTGAGGCGCGTCTGAGAGATTCCATTGTCGCGGGACTTCAAATCGGGGGATAATGGGGATTGTATGGTACTGGATTTCTATTCAGACAGCCAGCAGCAGCGACCCCATACGAGCCACTTCTTCTGCCCTGGGGACAGCACGTAACCTCCCTTCTCTCCTCGACTCCCTCCTTCTGCATCTTCACCCTTTTCCTACCCGCTTATTGGATTCTCCCTCCAAGTCAGGGATTTTGCACTCTCGAAAGTAGCCAGACTTTCCTGACCTGCGGCTTGACATGCTCCATAAACGGATTAGGTTTTGTTGTAGGGAAAATGAGATGTGTTTTGCAATACGTTTTTGACAATGCGTACATGACAGTGTTCATAGATGTTAATGCTTGTACATTGTGTTTCTTTATTAGTCCTTGTATTATGTAGAAGAAGTGGAGATATTGACGAAGGCAATTTTAAGTAGCCAATGCTATTTTTTAATATAGTTGCCGAAAAAGATAATTCTTTTATGGAAAGGAAAATTCTTTTATGTAGGTTTGTGTAACTAAATAGATAATTTAATATTAATAATTATGCGATTGTTTTTCGGTAAAATAAATGGCACGGAATGATTAAGACCACTAATACTAACTGTATAAGAATTATCTTCTTTATATTGTATCGTACAATCTATACTGTAACAAGCAACTCGAATAAGGAGAGTGCAAGCCCCGGAGAATGCTGATTTGGCTAAGCTCGCATAATGACAGTACCATTCATTGGTATTATTATGGTAACATGATAAGCTGGAATTCTGAAACAGGGTAGCTATATTTATCGAGCAAATAGTGTGCCACTATGCACGTCTACTTCTAACGTCGACTTCGTTGTCCAATCACGTTTCGTCGTCTCTAGCGTTCTCTTTGATGATACTCTCCTTTCAGAATATTTCTACGTGCAGCAGTTTTTTAATGAAAATTCAAGGCAGGCGAAGACTTCCTGAAAAGCCAGCCACCATCTAGCACAGGGTTAGGAATCTTCCGCCATTAACTACACCCTTTTTCATGAGTGTTCCGTCAAGGTGAAGGCGTGATTTTAGCTTTGTCCTCTGGTCACGTACAAGGACTTTCCCCTTTCCTTGATGCTTTTGGATTCTCACAGGGAATAGAACTTTCGTAAAACGGACAGGTTCTCTCTCTCGCTCTCTCTGTTCCTGACTCTTATGTTTTATGAAGGACGATCTTCATGCGGAGCAATTAGTATTTCCTCCATCCTGTTTACTGAAGGCAGTATGTAGCTTTGTTTCGTGTAGCTCATCTTCAAATTAAGCTTGCCAGTCCGTTTTATTACTCATATTTAACAAGCCTGCTTTTGAAATGTCAATTCCTATCTCTTGCTTCCTTTCCTTCTTAGTGGATCTACAAGTAACGAAAGAAAATTTTGAACATCGTTTTCTATTGAGATTTGCATTGAACGAAAACATCTATGAGATAGTGTTTTTTTTCTAAGATAAGCTTGGAGAATAAATTCAATGAAATTTGAGTGGATCGCGAAGCAGCTGTGCCATCGTCTCCCTGAGAATCTTTCTTCGTACGGTTTTTTATTCATTTTCCACGCTCGGGGCTGACTTCACCACCTTCTACCTCTGGATATTTTAGAACACAGGCACTTCGTGGACGTTATGCATGTATGTACACCGACGACGACGATGGCCGAAGGTAGATGGAAGAATAGAGGGTTGGGCGTGAACACTTGACGTAAGCAGCCGGATGTTGGCGTAGATCGCGGTGAGGTTCTCGTACTCGAGGGAGCCTTCTACGAGACCCATTGAGATTGCCACTCGGACCTCTTCTCCTATCTCTCCCTTACCCTTTTGCTACTTTTCATCGTCTCGTCTTCCGTGTCTTTGCTACGTATGCTACTCAAGATAATGAAACACGTCATTAAGTGTCTTGCTTTGTTTAATCACGCTAATCTCATTCCGCAATATACGTGTTACTTCTTTTGCCACGTTCGCATAAATGTTAGAAGACCGTGTCGGGGAAGTTTTGCAGCCATGGAATATTTTTAATTTCCCATATTTACAATTTCCCCGGATAATTCTTGGAGTGTATTTTAGTTTAAAATTCAGAAGAAAGTTACATCTCGTTAGTAAAGGTTGTGTTCATGATTTGAGTTGAAATTGTATATTCTTCCATGCATTGATTTAACAATATATCTGTTTCTTTTTGTAGTAGAAAATTAACTAAATTTTCTATGAAATATATTTTCTTTGTGTGTTGTACGTATAATACAGTACGGTTCTACTTAAAAGATAGTTGCAATGTTTTATAATGCTTGAAGGTCTCGCGAACCTTTAAAGCATTTGAGTATACGCATAAGCAATATGATATTTAATAAGATAAAATTATATGATAATAGAATTATCGATTCCAAACTTCTTGTTGTAATAATAAGGTAGGAATCTTGGCTGAATGTAGAAAATCATTTCGCAGGGAAGTCTGGCCCGAGAACGACAGTTTCGGAAGTGCTAATATTACGTCGGGGGAGGAGTTTCTAGCGCTACGGGAAATCTTCTTCGCAGACTTGGGCGGTGAGTAACATTTTTGCATCTGGTGTGAAGTGTTTTTGTTTGGTTTTATGTAACCATATAATATATTTGAATATATTTGAATCTATCGATTGTTTAATAATTAAAAAATAACGAAAACTCAATAATCGTAAAATTGTCAATTTTATATCACTAACATGAACATTTTAGATTTTTTTTAAATATCACAGTAATTATTCTAAATATACATACTTGCATATACATACTTAATATACATACTTAGAAACAAAATTTGTTATCATCGCGGCACGCATTTGAAAATATTTTTTAACCTTGAAACGGAGGTGAAAGCATCGTTAGTCGTAATCTCTCTTTTCCGTTTGTAGATTTTCAACAATTTTTAGCACATAGCATGATACAAATTCTTAATATACATGAGAATTTCGATCGTAGTAAATTGGTCCTCGAAAAGAAAACTTAATTCCTGGCTATCACCGTATCGCCTCGAATATCGTTTAAATTAAATTCTGCAAAATATCGCGCTAATGAGATTCTAGGAAATGAGACGACATACATATATTTGCAATCTCCAGTAGGGAGCTTGAGATAAAGTTAAAACTTCGTACTTTGAAAGCAGTGGCCGTTACTTTTTGCGCGACCCTCTACTCATCTTCCCATGGGGATTGCTTGTATAACTTGAATTTATCGAGAAAATTATATTCTCTGTATACATAGACCCGCGAGAAACTTGTGGGTGCTACTTTTGGTGGCGTATGATTATAAGGTGAAAAGTCTCTTATTACATTCGAATGTGAAAGTAATAAGTTGGCCAATTTAAATTCGTGGAGATTTCGTAACTAACCGTATTTATTGAACTAAAATCTGATTCCTTTTATGAAATTTCTTTGCGGTCTAATGTCACGATGTTATCGTTGGTGTCAACGTTCAAAATGTCGTTTTATTTCATTTGCACGTTACGTGCATTCTTGCGTGTATTCACACGATGCTTTATGATAAGTAGATACGAGCGATTAACGCAAATCCTCCGAGTACGAAAATTCTCCGTAATCGAGCATGCACTGCCGTATATTTATTTACTCAAGCGTTTGAAATTTTAACGTAATCGCCCGGAGCTTGTAATAAAATAGTTCTACAAACGATGGATTCAAATATTCATTCTCACCTTTCCTTTTTCCCTCTTTCGCTTAAATTTCCGTAAGAATAAATTAACGAGCTGCTGGATACTCGTGCTAAGAAGATATTAACAGAGGAAAAACTTATAAACACGTAATTTTACTCAAGGGGAACACCTGCGGGACCGGTTGTAATAACTGGCACGTACATCATGACACAAATTTAATTAAATACACCCTCGGTATTCATTTCACGCTTCTAATTTATGTATGAATAACTATGTTGTGTAACCACCGAGATTTCATGACGTTCCATCTTCCGAAATGTATTTATCTATGTTTATTAACGGAGCAACAATGGCCATACCGCTCTGAACGTTTCAATGGGATGTTATGCCTTTTCATTTCGATTCTCCCCTTTGCGTCTTTTGTGACGTGTTGGCCGCCTTTCTTAATGAAAATAAATTGAAATACATCATCACGAAAGAATATTTTAATTAGATGTACGAGTATAATGATTCGCGAAATACGGAATTGTCAAATTTTCAAACATAAAATCAGATAGCTATTGCTACGAGATACATTAAAAAATTATGAGAACTTTGAGAACGATGATCGTAAAGTAGATGCTATGTTATATCTTGGGTTAATTTGACGTAGAAATTTTTACTTACAATACGAATGAACTAAAATTGATTACGCTTTGCGCTTATTCCTTATTTTTGGTATTATGAGCGTAATGCATATTGCTTAGTTAAATTGATTGACATTGATCGTGTAGTCTGTTGCATATGCTTTCCTCGTTAGCGTACTCAGTGTTTTCGGTGTCTACATGACGTACAAATGCACGTGGATTTAGTAGAAAGTAGATGTTATACAATTATAGGACTTTATTTTAAGGAATATGTGAACAATTTCTTCGACATAAATGAACAAAATTAAAATATCAACATTTGTCGCATTATTAATCGAACTTTTATGATTTCATGAATATTACGCAATATTTGATGTATATTTTACCGTATACACGCGTTTGTATGTAGATATTTCGTGCAATTAATTCAAAGTTACAATTCTCATTCTATTTTTTTTTTAATTCGCGTTTTCACCGCATTAATTGCGATGTTTTTTACATCGTTTAAGTATATATAGCAGGAATATTTTAGAAGGGTCAAGTTATTGCTAGGTGTTATCTCGATCTGCATATATATATCAGAGGAACTGACTGGTCTTGACACAGACTAAAAAATAGAAAAATGAATCGAGTGCACGGAACAGGAAGAGAAATAGCAACAGGGCACGTTCAACTTGCTATTATATATTTGAATCACAAGGTGTGTTTCATGCAATAGAGCGAAACGAAATCAGCTGATTCTGCGCCGAGTTCGCATGATTCGATCGTTGCTGTTCCTCGTTTCGCCTATGCTCTTGTACTTTATGCACACCGGTACTTGTATTTTGCGACTTGGCCGTGTCCTGATGCGTTTGCATCTGCCGCGCATAATGGAGCGTCTGTTCCGCGTTGATAAAATGTACTGCAAAAATCGGAGTATATTTCACGAGATAGACCTGTCTCCTTTTTTGTTTTTACACCAAGATAAACGTTCCGCTTACGGCGAGAAAAATTAGTCGTCAGGGAAATCTGAATTTAGTCGGGAACTAGTATAACTGCGGGCAGTGTACAATTTTTTCTCTTGATCATGCTACATTTTACAATTTTATTATGGATATATAAACAGAAAGGGATTGATATCCTGCGAGTAAAGTTCGAGCAATCGGTTCGAACGAAATCTTTTCTCAATACTGATACTTAGCTCTATTTATTAAGAGAAAAGGGAAATTTTAGAAGCAAGTATACCTATATATTCGACGAATTTGCTCGGCAAGTTTCTAAAACGACGGCCATTTGGCGTACAATCTCTCTGATAAATGTATTTTTCTTTTTATAAATAATCGGTGATCGATAGAGCCGGATATCTTGGAACCAGTCGAAAGGGTTTTATTTATACATGTCCTTTACGTTGCCTTGGAATGGTCTTCGCGTAACATTTACCAAATATACGTTTCGCTGAATACTACTTTCGTGTGAAGTATTGCAGTACAGGCAAGGAAGATGCGACATTCTGCAGTGCAATTTTTCTCTCGCCCTCGCGCGATTCTAACTTGTTGGACTGAATACTTGATGGATGTATCAGAATAAGGAAACTATAAGTTTCCCACTGGAGGTCGAAGGTTTGATGAATGAAAACCGAATTGAAAGTCTCGTCTGTACCTTAGAGTAGAGCTAGCAACGATAGAATTTACATGGTACCCTAGGAACGAACCCTACCATATGTCCGCCGTTCATCTTGTTTTCATTCTTGCCAGGTTTTACGCTCCATAACTTAGTGTCTTCCAGCAAGGTATCTTCTGACCTTTTTATACGTTTTGTTTTATACACCACTGGCTCGAAGCGCGTGTAATGTTTCACTGCTTGGCTCGGGTTCTCTTAGACATGCAAACTGTACAAGAGGGTGGCAATCTCTCGCCGATGTAGTAGAATAAGCTTGTTTACCTGTTTCCTCGTCCGTCAGATTTCTATCCCTCCGAAATCACCTTTGTGACAGCTTTTTCGGGAAGGGCTTCTACGTGCATCGAATGGCGATCTGATCACGTTAGGAATTGTGTTTCGATGATGATAGAGTGCAAACGAGGCCAGGAAAGTTTTGCATTCACCCAAGTGTTCGTATATTCAAATTTTATTTCACATATTCTGAATTGCACACCCTCTCCTCAGTTTATGCATTCACTATGCAACGTTATTTAATAGAGTTGGGAAAAAAGATTTCCAATGGCAATGCCAATATTTTTCTTACCCTCGTTATAATAGCTTCGTGTACGTATCTTAGTTGTATATACACCTTGTTATTAATTATTAAACAATTTAGTGACAAATTAAAATGTGCAAAGAAGTATTTGGTTGGCAATGTTGTTGTTTCATGAAACTCAAATGTTTACTAGCTATCTCTTAGTCGTAGATTATTTATGATATTTGCCGAGTTCTATGCCATTAATCATGTACAATATATGTATATGCATAAATACAGTTGGTCACAGAATTCAAAGCGCCAAGTTAAAAAAAAGAAAAATGCATTTTATTATAGAATTACGTACATTTATATGACAATATAAAATAATTGAATTTATTCGGTACATTAAAGTATTTCCGAAAGAAATGACAAAGATCTAATGTGCTTAACTGACAAAGGTCTTGAAAGGAAATTACATCAGAATTTACGAAACTTTTGTCTGTATTAATGTCTAGAATGTATTATGTAATATTACGTTGTATCTGCCTTTTTATAAGATTTCATTTTACATCCCTTTATCTCTCCTTTCATGTGTAACAAGTCGTGTTATTTGTAGAACTAATATCTTTGTTACGATATTTCACTTTTAAGAGATGTATGTAAATTTCACTGTCTGACAATATACGTTTCGCGACAATAATTTTTCAATCTGTCAAAGTCATCACGGATCTTGAATGAGATAATAGAAGCATAATTGAAATTACGAATTACGAACGTAAATAAACTAGTGGAATATTGATTATTATTTCATTTGATAAATTACATCATATTTAATTTGTCAATTCCAAACGAAGTTTAAATTAAAAGATGAACGTATGTTTGACGTACCATACATCTTGGTCCATTTTATTCTGTAAAAACAAAATTTATGCTAGGAAATCGAAAATTGGGAATACGTACGCATCGTTTCGCTTCGTAAAATTATTTTTTGATTCGACCAATCTGTTAACGGTTTTCAACGTACACTAGTCTGGGAATCATAACTTGGAAGAGTATCTCTGATTGCATCAAAAGTATGGTCCACCTAAGAAACGAGATCAGTATGGTACGTTAGTGAGGTGGAAAAGT